TCTCTCTCTCTCTCTCTCTCTCTCACACACACACACACGCATACACCCAATTTCACACACATAAAACAAGAGTGATAAACAAAATAAAGAAAAGATTACGCCAAGCATCCGTCGACATTTATAAATGCCGGGGGGCATGGATGATTTTTTATTCGTATTTTATACATTCAAAACCATTTCTGAAATCCTATTTGTATGCAATATTATTATGTTTTTTAAAGAAAACCTGATCAAGTAACGTCACGGTGTTTTTTCCCCCTTTAAAGTGTTTAATGTGCCTATGCTGCATAGTGCACTGGGGTGCCCGCGAACTGTCTGCAGACATTTGGTTCAGATAATGGAGCAGGAATTACCCTTTTTGCGTTAACATTTTATGTTTTTGTGATTTAGGCAAATAGAAATAGTTACTACTCCTCTGTCATTGTTTGCGTCATTGTTTACTGGCCAAATACGTTCTTCTGCATTTAGAAATAGTGAATCGTGACGTGCATTTAATTAAGGTTTTGGGGAAGGGGCTACGAACAGATGACGAAAGGAGAACTAGGACGGTAGGAGAAAAGAAATGGAAAAAGTGGACATTTTTGGTTTTGGTTAAGGCGGGGTGGGGGTGGGGGATGGGACTCGAGGGGGGAGGGGATTTAAAAGGAAAGGGTATGGGACTTGGGGAATTGAAAGGAAGGGATATGTATCAAATAATGGAGACTGCTGGTGTTACAACATTAGCTCAATGCTTGATACACTGTGTGCAGTGACGTTGTTGATTTTTTAAAAACATTGTGATTTTCGTAATGACATTGTTAATGCGTGGGAAGCGGCTCAAACATAGATTAAATGCTCGTCCGAATAATTATTACTCAATTTGCTTTCAAGAAAGAAGCTGCAAGTAACACAGAGTTTGAATTCGAACCGTTATTCTCTTCTCAAAACACAACATAACTTGTTGAGATTTGTTGTAGGGCTTAAGGAAAACAACCTTTCCATTCGTGTACTGCTTTTTAAAACTCCCCCCTAAATCGTTTTGCTGTCGTATATACTTTAAACTTGACCATTGTCCTTTATCCCCTGCACTGCCACAACATTCATCTTGGGTAAGTGCAGTCGAAGAGTAGAGGAAGGGGGGGGGTAGGCACTTGCTATTAAGTAAAAAAGCAAATTTTCTCCTCACATGCTGATGATGATATATGCATGAGATTTCTCTGATAGGTGATAGACAATGATTTCTCGGCTGCACTCTGAAATGAGGACGGGCACATTATAATGTGTCTCCCTTTGACTTTGTCTGAAACTCACTCCACCAGAGACGGTCATATTCACGTGGCAGACCGAACAGCCAAGAGTTTATCGCAAACCAATCAAGGGTTAATCTGCTTACAAAAGCTGCGATATGCTTTAATGGAGGACTTAGATCTCAGGGCTCATCTTAATTCTAAGATTACAAAACCGTTTCGTTGAAGAGCCGAGCAAAAACGTTTTCATCTTTTTTGAAGAGCTGAGATGCATTTCAAAAGACATGTAAACTATCCAGAGCCTTGGAAGTTTGGGTAACGGTTGGCTGGTTTAGATTTAACGTAACTTTGCAATTGACACTATTCATTTTTCATTTTTCAGAAGAAAAAAATACACCCCCCCTCCCCCCGAGAAAATCCCCCAAAAGCCTTTCAGTCGGTCTGATGCTGTTCTATGTATGTTGATCCGAGATAAAGTTATCATAATTTGTTTTCCGATTCTTTCCCCCATAAATTCAAGTCGAGTTTCTTGGCGTTTATGAAACTGATAACACAGGCTGTTTTTTATCACACGCTAAGAAAACTAATTCGGCGTTCACGTCTTGTCTAAGCTATCTCAGGCAGACGTCTCTGCCCCCGCTCTCCGCCTGACTGGCGCGTTATAGTGAGCCCTTGCCAGGGACACGCGAACCGCGGAGACAAAACCCTCGCTTGGAAAACTGGATTCACACCCTAGCTAAACTTTACTCTGAACTTTTCTCTCCAGATTTGTTGAAGGTCTGCGAAAGTTTTCATATAAATCACTTTTTTTCCATTAATCTCCATTCATAGGGTTTTCTAGCTCTGGGGATTAGGTAGAAGTATCTTTCTGTTAGATCAAAATTTACAGTGTCCTCCCTCCCTACGCTCTCTCGAATCTCATGTTTATGATTAACTGCCGTTTTCAACGGTCTTGATAAAGCAATGGTTTGATATAAGCTTTAGAACAGCGGTCAGAATAAGTTAATACTGAAAAGTGATTCGAGACAGCCTTGCATAAATGGGAGGGCGGGGAGGGGGGGGCATGACTAAACCAAAGATTACGTATGTTTAAAAAAATAAAAGGTTTTCTAAAGTCATAATAAGCATTCAGGTGTCAAGTGTACGAAATAAATTACTTGGATTAATACTGTCAAACTTTTACCTCCCAAGTGCAATCAGCATCTAGTCATTTAACAAGAGACTCCTAAAACTATTGGCATTCACATTTATACTGGTTTTTTGTGGGTGTTTTCAAACCCTTCTCATTTTGTTCGTACATTCGGCTCTGAAAACCGGAATCACCCAGTTTGGTGTTTAACTCATACGTAAGGAATGGCAAAAAGACAAAACTGCATAACTGCATACGTAAGTTT